GCTCTCTGGAGTACAGCGCCCCCTGCTGGCCCCCTGCCCTGCTCTCTGGAGCACAGCACCCCCCAGCACTGCATTGAGGCGATAAGGTTAGCACTGACTGCTAGGGATGTCACAGAGTGGACACTGGGGAAGGTGAGGCCAGTTTGTTCAGGGGGAAGGTGCCAGGGATCTCTCTGGTTGGCTCCTAACTCCTCCCTCTTTCCCCTCTGGCCAGGTTGAGGCTCCCCCAAGACCCCCCACTGATGCCCCACTTCTCCCGGGCCCTGAGCCGCCTCCCACCCAGCTACGACTCAGCTGCATACCGGCCCTTCCTGGCCACGTACGGCACCCACTACATTAGCCAGGCAGCACTGGGGGGGCGCGTGCGGCAGCTGATGACCGCCCAGACCTGCCGGGTGGTATTGGACGGGCTGACGGCTTCCGACATCAAGGAGTGCCTGGCTTCACAGTTCTCCCTGAACCTGGGCTTGGGGTCACTTGCCTCAAACTCTGAGTGCCGTGAGGGGAGCAGCCACTGGCACAAGTGGCGCTCCCAGGCGGCATATATGGAACACCGTGACGAGGTGACGGGAGGCCACGGCCAAGCCAGCCTGCTCTTCTCCACCAAGCAAGACGCTGGGGTCTTCTCGGCTTGGATGGAGAGCCTCAAAACCAGCCCCAGCCTTGTCTCGTACTCCCTGATGCCCATCCACACCTTGGTGGAGCCGGATGACCCCAGGCGGGAGGCGCTGAGGCAGGCAGTGAAGAAGTACGTGGCTGAGCGGGGAAGGAGGAGGAGTTGCCCTCGTAGCTGCCCGGAGGGGGGCAAAACCTACTCCTGGGACCCCTGCAAATGCTACTGCTTCGCGAGCCCCCTCACCAACTCCATGTGCTGCTCACTCAAGCGGGGCATGGCCCGGCTGAAGGTCCGGGTGCTGTGGGCTGAAGACCTATGGGGGGACCACATGTCCGCCACCGACGCCTATGTCAGGTTCTTGTTCCAAGGCCGGCGGCTGCAGACGGGCCACATTGAGGGAGATAACAACCCCATCTGGTTCAAAGACCTGGACTTTGGGCTTGTGACGCTGCCGGCGCTGCCCAAAATGGAAATGGAGGTGTGGGACAGTGACCTGTGGGAGGATGACCTCCTGGGCCGCTGCTACACCTACCTCGAGGTCGGCAGGGATGTCAGACACACCTGCCACCTCGCACACGGCCACCTGCAGTTTTCCTACACGCTGGAGTGTGGGCCCAACCTGGGGGGCAACAACTGCCATGAGTACGTGCCTGCAAGAGGCTGAGGGGAGAGAACCCAGGAGTCCTGGCTCCCCCGCTCTAACCCACTATCCCCCACTCCCCTCCCAGAGCTGGGGAGAGAACCCAGGAGTCCTGGCTCCCAACTCCCCTGCTCTAACCCACTATCCCCTCCCAGAGCTGGGGAGAGAACCCAGGAGTCCTGGCTCCCAGCCCCCCTGCTCTAACCCACTATCCCCCACTCCCCTACCAGAGCTGGGGAGAGAACCCAGGAATCCTGGCTCCCAGCCCCCCTGCTTTAACCCACTATCCTCCTCTCCTCTACAAGAGCTGGGATCCGAAACGAGGGGTCCCAGCTCCAAGTCTCAGGAGGAAAAAAAAAGGCGGTGCTGTCTTTGAAATCAGGCCCGAAACAAGCCCAACCCATCTCAGAGGGAGAGGGGTGTGTGTCTGGGGGGGGAGGGGGGCGGGAATACAAATTCCATTGTTTTTTTTTTTAGTACTTCTAGTTTTGCTACCTACAACTTGAAGTTACACATTAAAAATAATAACCGTGCGCGGACTTCCATTATGAAGAAAAGAGGTCATCCTCTCGCTCGCCCCCCGCCGCGGTCTCCATTGCCTCGTGGGACATTCCCGTGTGGCACCGTGAAAGCATCTTCCGGCGCAGGACAAGAAAACGGAGCAGAGGATGCGTCGAGTGGGCGGGATTTTCGTAATTGAATGGGAGCAGGGAGCGGAGGCTTCTCAAATTCTGGTGATGGGCATCAGTCACCAAAACCGCGCCGACCGCCATTTTTAAAGTACAACTTGTAGGGTGACCAGATGTCCCTATTTTATAGGCCCCTAGTAACCCCCTCCTCCGTCCCGACTTTTCCCATTTGCTGTCGGGTCACCCTATGCTTTGTGCTGAAGTCCCCTAGTACACAAACGAAAGAAGGGCCCAGTCTCATGCTCTCTGTATGTGTGTATATCTATCTCCTCGATTATATGTTTCACTCAATATGCATCCGAAGAAGTGGGTTGTAGCCCACGAAAGCTTATGCTCTAATAAATTTGTTAGTCTCTAAGGTGCCACAAGTACTCCTGTTCTTTAAACGAAAGAAGCTACCTCCAAATAAAACAAGCCCCCAGCCTCCCACAGCACGCCGCTCTCAAAAAATGAAAGCAAAGCCCAATTCCACTTATTAGAGGTGGACTTGACCACATCTGGTCCCCTCTGGTACCTCCTCCCAGGAACACCCACCCCGGCACTCCTGGGGCCCCCGCACGCTGCTGCTCTGGAATCTCCCGACCAGGCTGAATCCTTGTCAAGTATTAACCTAGGGGGTCGCACCCTTCGGTGCTGCTGGTGTTTGAGCTGATTGCACCAGCGCTCTCTGTGCCTCCCTCCCTGCAACTCCTCCCCGCCATTCCCAGGGGCTCTGTGTGCTCCCCGTCTTCCCCCCATGCTGGGGAATCTGTGGGCCCTCCCATTCCCCAAACCTCATGCTGGTGGCTCTGAGGGTCCCCATTCCCCCTCCCCCCATGCTGGGGGCTCTGTAGGTCCCCATTACCCTCCCCCCATGCCAGGGGCTCTATCACCCTCCATTGTCCCCCTCCCTCATGGTCTATGGGCCTCCATTGCTCCCCTCCCCCCATGTAGGGGCTTTGTGGGCCCCTCCATTGGCCCCTCCTCCCATATCAGGGGCTCTGTAGGCTCCCCATTCCACTTCCCACTATACCAAGGGCTCTGTGTGCCCCCCATTGCCTCCCTTCTCATGTCTTTTCTTCCTACCATAGAGCTCCATTGACATTTTAAATGCCGTAGGGACACAGGGGAAGAGGTGACTGGGCCCTTCTGAGATGCTGGCTGGGGTTAATTTGGCTCCAGGGTGGGGAACTGACTGACTCTAGTGGGGTGGGGAAAGGGATCTTTCCCCTCTCGGGGGTGCTGGCTCCAACCCAGCCCCAGAGCGGGGGTGGGGAATTGGGTCTTTCACCTCTAGGGAGCGCCGGCTCCTATCTTAACCCAACAGCCACACACCATTCCCCACCCAAGGGGTGAGTGAGATGCAGCTGCCTCTGGGGTGGAGCAGAGGGGAGCTGTCAGGGCGTGGCCATTTCCTACCCATTTCAAAGGGGACCACACAGTCCACATCAAAGCCCCCAGCTATGCGTGGGGCCAGGGCTGGGCTGCAGATGCAGGCAGGATGCTGCGGCCTCTGGGGCCTGACTCTTTGTGGCCACATGACTCACGGGCTGCTGGTAAACTCGTGAGCAGAGGCAGCGCCAGGATGTGGCCAGAAGCCCCCTCCCCCCTAGCAGAGAGCCCTCCGCAGCTCCCGCCTCTCCCAGTGGGGCGCGTGAGAATCGAGACCACAGAGGTCAGCACAGCTTTGGGGGCAGAGCCACATCAGAGCAGGGCTGAGCCCCGTGCAAAGAGAAAGGAGCATCAGCTGGATTGCTTTACAGCTGGGGAAATTGAGTCACGGAGAGGGCGGGGGTAAACCAAGCAGCGAGCTGGGGATAGAACCCAGGAGTCCTGGCTTCCAGTCCCATCCCCGCCCTCAACTCTAGCCCCTGGACCACACTCCCCTCCCAGAGCCCAGGATGGAACCCAGGAGTCCTGTTTACTAGCCCCCTCCTTCCCCCAACCCACCAGAGCCTACTCCCCTCCCAGAGCCCGGGACAGAACTCTAGTGGGTAGAACCTGTGTGGCTTGTGCGACAGACACAGAAGAAGGAAGGACACTGGGAGCTTTTGCAATGGAAACTAGGCCATGGAGACCTTTAGTGTGCCAGTAAGCCCTCCTCCCTTTCCCAGCTCCAGCCCCAGAGCTGCGGGGCTGGTTGGGAACGGGACATGTGGCCTTTCTCCTCTAGGAGGCGCCAGCCCCTAGGGCACGGGACAGGCTGGCTCAGATGGGTGGGGAATGGGATCTAGGGCCTTGCCCCTCTAGGGGGTGCTTTCTGCTCCAGCCCCAGTTTGGGGGTGGGTGGGACTTTATCTTGATGAGGACTGAGGTGGGGTTCTAGCTGAAACGAATTGTCCTCTGGGGACATGGGGTGGAGCTGCTGGATTGTTGCTGCTGTGAAAGGCCGATCCTGTCTCCCAGGAGACCCAACAAGACCAACACACACAAACAGGGAGAGAAAAGACCAGCAGAGAGAGAGAAAAACTCAGCGGCTGTCACTGGCGTTGACCCTCCCTTGTAGCCTCACAGCTGGAGAAACACGGCCCCAGGAATAGGCACCCATGGGGAAAAATGGGGGGTGCTGAACACCCACCAGCAGCTCCCCAATCAGCACCTCCCATCCCTCCTCATGCCTCTCATCAGCTGCGATCAGCTGTTTTGCAGCGTGCAGGAGGCACTGGGAGGGAGGAGCGAGGGTGTGATGCACTTGGGGGAGGGGACAGAATGGGGCGGGAAGACGCAGGACAGGGGTGGGTCCTTGGGGGAAGGGGTAGAGTGGAGGCGAGGCCTCGGGATAGAGTACCTGTGGCCCCAGGTCCAAGTCGGCGCTTGTGGCCCCAGGCTCTAGGCCCTCCTCTGATCAGTCACTTCAAGATGTAGCAAACTTGTCGCAGTGACAGGCCCGTTTCCGGGCTGCCAGTTTGGGATGGACGTATTCCTGGAGGTTTCATTGCATGAATGAAAGATTAATCTTCAATTCCTGGAGACTCCAGGCCAATCCTGGAGGGTTGGCAAACACGGCCATTTCGGGTGTTGCAAAAGATGCAGCCTGGGCCAACTGAGCCAGACTCTTCTGAGAGAGAGGTGAAAAGACCGAGAGAAAGAAGGGAGAGAAGAAAGAAGACGGGGAAGGAATAGACGAGCACAAGAAAGGAGGTAGGAGCAGGAAGTCCATGTCTCACCGGACCGTGTTTGGGGTTTAGCCGGAGCCAGCAGAGGTGGCAACATCACCTGGGTCCCTCTGTCTGGCCTGATCCCAGCTCAGCTCCGAGGCCCAGGACAATGAAGGCCCAATGACGTCATGGTGGAGCCCAGGAGATGGTGCCGATGGCTCCCATCTGTCCACCCAGCTCCCTTCATCCCCACCCCCATGTGCTCCCTGAAACGGGCAGTGGCCGGAATACCTCTCCCCTCCTGCTTTTGTCCTCCAATCAGGATTGTTTTATTTTTCAAAACCCGCAAAGCATTTTATTTGACCAAACATGATATTTTTTATGTGCTTTCACTTTGCCAAAAAATT